CCATTTGCTTAACCTTATTTTTTTTAACAGAATGTATTGAGAATGGAAGTGTCCAGGATCATACCCATTTCCCCTTGCAGATACTTATCTTGCGAACAATTGGAATTCTTTTGCCGATCTATATTATGGTCAAAGCATTAACTTGCGTTCTAAATAGGCGCAACCACCAGGTAGTTCAATTATTAAATATTTCTCAAATGAGTGTAACTATGCTTATTAGTGACCTCTATTTCTATCAACACTGTAAACTATCTGATACCTTTTTTATTTACAATTGATCCTTTCCCTTTTGCTGAAGTTTTTAGTATCATATTTTGATTAGGGTATGCTCCAACATGTATAGATGGCACCGATTGAGGGTAAATAATGGAAGGGGGTAGACCAAAACTAAACATGAGTTTGTGGAGGACTGTTGGTTGAAAAAAGTACAGTGTCTTTGCTAATTCATATAATCATATTTGATCAAGTAAGAAGATTGGTTTAGCTTGTGATACATTCAGGATCAAATTTCAAGAAAAACGTCATAGTTACAGCTGAAGTACACAAAATAAGAAAATTAATTGTTTCATATAACAGTTTCTGGTATATGCCTCCCTAGAGTCCCTCACAAACCTTAGTTTTTGCTTGTATTGCAGTCATTTACACCATTATCCAATCAAGAGGACACTAAATTCTTGCAATCGTTCTCTTTGACGTGGGTTATGTTTTGTTTAGAACTGGTTCAGTTTTAAAGGAAACACATCCCGTCATTACAAAAATTGTAGCGCAGATTCTTTGTCAAGTATAATACTCTTCATGTTCTTTAGTATACTAGCAGGCTTCCATTCATATTCATTTTTTCTCCATTTTAGCATAAAGTAGAAAGGATTCATTTTTTCAGTTGATCTTCCAATTTTCTCTGTGCTAGGACTCCCATGTTCTCCCCATTCCTACTTCAGATGAGGAAAACGAGATACCAAGACAACTGCCTGAGTCGCTCTACATTCACATTCCAAATATTTGATGCTTCCAAGCTGTTTGGTGATGCAACTATATTCCATGACCGGAAGATCCAGTATCTGATACTTGCTGCAGTGCCATCATCTTGGATCCTGTTATCAAGCTGTTGCTGCATACCTGTAAAGAGAAAAATACGTTACAGCCTGATAGAGAGCCTGTTTGGGTATCTTATTTGTAAATATCGACTGCATCAGAGAACATGAAGAAATGAACTAGCTTCAGGTTGAACAGAAACTATTAGATTAGTCTTTGAAAGTTTTAAATTACCAAATATTTAGACCCAACGTGCGGAATTATACAATTAAAAGCAACAAGTCACTTTCTAATTGTTTCTAGATGGTTAGATCAAACAAGTCAATTTTATCCTATGTTGAATTGCCACAATAATAAGTAAAACAATAAATAACACAAGATTTAATGACGGAGAAAATCCTTAATTGGGTAAAATTTTCAGGACTAAGCCAGTAACTTCCACTAGAGATAATAAGAACTTACAGTATGATCCAACCTAGAAAATCAACTAGACACGCTTATCTAATTCGTACAATTTCCAAGACCCGCTGGAACGTGCTTCACTCACGCCTGTTCTCGATCTTCTGGGATTGCCTATTTTCTATAGATCACAAAGAACACTTTATTCTTGTATTCTTTCTGTGCTTGCAGTCCAACCTTCCTTAATCTTCTACAACCTCTGAAAACTATTGGGAAAGTACATTCCTTATGATATCTAGGAAGTGAGTGTTTTTTATTGTTTGACTTTGATATTTTTGTGGTTGATTGATCTTAAGAGTCAAATGATTAATCTCAATATTTGAATATGTTCTTGGATCTTGGAATAATGATATAAGGATGTATAATGATGATCAACCACACACAAAAATGTACTAGGCATTGCGTATTTATAATAAAAGATATTTAGTTAGTACACAAACAAAATTCTTGAAAAACGCAAACTAGGATTTCTTGAAAAACTTAGTCGCTCGAGCGCCAGGTGAGTGAGAGGTGTGTCGCTCGAGCGAGAGTCGGACAACATGCTAGCGTAAATTCAGCGACTATTTCTCCTTATTCCATACTCGAACCAAAAGACTCATAATTCATCTATATAACCTCTAAAAGACTCATTGACTTTTACAACTCTTTTATAACAATTCTATTATTTTATAATAATCATTTTGTTTAAAGAATTGTCAATAGAACATAAATCCTAACAATCTCCCCATTTGGCATTCTGTGACAAAACTATACAATACAAGTCAATGATGTAAAAACAAACTAATCTACCCAAACTCAAACTGAATGTCTGTCTCTTGCATTTCTTGAATCCTTTTTTTCTAAAATCAACAACTCAAATACCAAATGTAAAAGCACGTAATATAGAAAATATAATAATTGAAACAGACTATCATAAATATGCTAGCTAGATTGAGAAGCAATACTAATGTTAATTAAAACACCAACTGAAACATTAATATTACAAAAAATCAAAACTAAAAAAAGTTGAGCATTAAAAAAAAAAAATCCAAATACTGTCATCTCCCTCTCACTGCAAACTCCCAAAAATTAAAATTAACATGCCAGACTAAAATTAAATTACTAAATTAACTCTCCCCTTTTTTTAACAAATGACAAAGGAAACCATAACAACAATATATAATAACTCAAAGATGCAATTAATAGCATGCACAAACATAATCAATGATCATTAAACGTTTCCACATACTCAGTTCAAGTCTAACTGGAATAAATTATAAAAGTGACTCATGTGTGTTAAATGCCACTAATTCCTTGTTATCAAGACTCCAAAACCTTAAATTTGTAAAAAATGACATGCTACACATTACTGTTAAATAAGTTTATTCCAACCCTCTTTCATATCAAAAAATAAATAAATAAGTTTATTCCACTACCAATGAAAATCAAACCAATAATGTATATTAGAATCTATAAATAAAGATCATTTTTCATGTATATTATTCTTTTCTCCCCCTTTGAGCAAATATACATTTTCACACAATTTATATTTTTCCTTTTTAAACTCATTATTTTTCTTTTCAATTTTTTTCACATCTTATGTGCAAACTCTTCTCCATTAAACGACTAAGATGACCCTATAACAAGTTTTAAACCGATGACTCCAAGCCAAATGACCATAGGGTATCATGTTATAAGAAATCCTTCAATCTTAATTGCTCAAGTCAAATAGGCTTCGAAAAGAAGCATAGTGAAATTCCAAAAATAGCTAACCAAAAGGGGGGTGAATTGGTTTTNGGTGAATTGATGTTTAAAACTTTTTCTAAAATAAATTTAAGTCTGAAACAATATACTAGCAATTATATCAATTCAATAAATGTGCACAAATACAAATATAATTAAGCACGAGCACTTTGAGCAATATAAAAACGGTAAGTAAAAAAGGAAGAGAATGTAAACAATGTTGTTGTGGAGGCTCGATCCCAAACACAATCTACATCTCCCGTTACCAAGCTCACCATCACGAACAATGCATTTTCACTATAATATTGATTGACTTATGGTGCAATCCAACCCTATACAAAATTTTCGGTAATTTACAAACAATGAGTATCGATCATTTTACAACGTTGAGCTTTTCAGGACCTCAACACGACCCACAATTCAGATGAATTTACAAATGAAATATTCTCTTCTTA